GGTGTAGTACAAAAACCCTCAGACCTTTGGTTTGCCGAGAAAACCCGGCAAAAAAAGGGGCACCACTCAATCAGATGAGCCCAGACAACGCCAGTAGGATGTTTCGCCTCTCAGGCTCTCGCGCGTTGATTGTACTCTTGCTTCCAATCCTGTTTTTGCAGCCCAGGCCAGATTCCTGTCACGAGGTCGCGTGTCACATGCGATCAGTGTGTTTGTTTTTGTTGGGTTTTTTTTCCCGCGTAGCTCCGGCTCGAAAAGCGAAAAGGCTTTTAAGTACGAAAGCACTGCAATCCTCAAATGGCCGGTTTCCTTTCGGCTTCCCTTTAAAACCAACCAATAAAACGTTGAAACAGAAACACACATGTTCTTTCCTAGTGCATCCAACATCGCAAACTTTGGCCTGAAGGCTTCTCTGAGAACCACAAGAAGAAAGGCAGAACCACAAGATCAGCAATCTTCGTGTCAACCACGGGTGGGGTGGCAAACACCGGCAAGGCATCCCTTTGTTTTTGGTTTCATTTGCTACAAATCGAAACACGGCACCTCCACAGGCTCAAGGCTTGCGGGCTGAGAGCTGAGAGAGAGAGAGAGAGAGAGAGAGAGACCTCCAGCCCTTTGCTTTTGCTTTACTTCTTATTGTCGATGTTTAAAGGAAACTCCAATAGTTACCTTCCATTTGGTTTAGACCCCTGGAAAAAAACAGTCCAGTAGTGATAAATTCCTTTTTACCACCAACAAGGCAAAATCACACATATTCTTAAGCAACTGGAAGGTACGGCACTGGCTCAAGGCGCCCAAAGCGCTCAAGGCGCGCCCAAGACTTGAGAGTCGCTCCTCCAGCCGAGGCTTTGCAGCAGCTGGAAGGAGGCCTCCCAATTTCCGGACTCGCCGCAGGCGCGCGCCAAGGCGCCCGCGCCCACCTACGACCAAGGGCGGAGGCGGTTTCGGCGGAGGCGAAACGGTGCCGCGGAGCCCGGCAAAAAGGCGCGGAAAGAGCCAAAAGGCGCGGAACCACGAGGCAAAAGGTCGAATTTTAAGAGGACACACGGCCGTCCGTCCAGGACCCTGTCAGGTTCCATGTGAGTGGAGAGATTAGTGTCATTTGATGTACTCCATTGAACAGTGAACATCGGGGGGCTCGGAAGCGTCTTTTTCACTACCTCGGTGCCCTCCTGGAAAATCGATGGATCCTGCTGGGAAATGAATCGCAACAAAATGATACCAGCTTTTTGGGACCAGGTTTGGTTTCTTATCTTCAAAGGGATTCCACACTCTTGGGGGGAATCATACAGTAGTCTAGCAGGGACCAATTCAGGGGTGTCACTGTTGTACAACATGGGACAGGCAGACAATTCGCCACATGCCACGCATCGCGACCATGCTGAAAGGTATCCCACCCCAAGAAACTCCTCTCAAAGCTCGCCTCGTCTGGCTGACTCGACATGGCCATGGCCTGGCATCGGGTTGATTGGCCCAACACACAAGACGTGAGCAACCAACAGGTGATCCAAAATAGAACCCTGGTAAATGGCACCAAGGACCAAAATCTGCGGGCCCCCGGGTTTAACTTTGACCCACACCCAAATATAACTCGGTTGCTTTCTGCTCCCCTGCTAAAAGTTTAACCTGTCGTGGTTTAGTGGAAAACCCAAATTCGTTGGCAAAAAGGCAAAAAGTCCCAACATCCCTTGGCAAAATGCACCCAAAGATAAGGACCCCTGATGGAAGCCATGCCATGCACAGCTGGCTGCGCATGTCGCCGATCGGGCCTCCTGCCAGGCCGACAGCGCGCACGAGGCCGCCGCGTTCAGGGCATAGGCGTCTGTCTGCACCTGAACTCAGATGCCCAGTGGGTTTCCATGGGGAAAAAGAGACTCGGCATCCTTTTTGGGTTGGTTGAGTTTCAAGGAATCGGAACCCTTTCCAAAAAACGAGAGGGGCAAGTGGGTGAAGAGTACACAGCTCTGCGCAAGAGCCATGGGCTGATTTCCCAAGAGGATTGAATAACTTTGTGAGTCCCCTGCTTTTTGTCTCCCCCAAATGAAGCATCGACTACTGGACATGTTGACGGGACCTCAGAAGGTGGAGTGATGGGTTCCGTTGTTGGGGGCCCCCACTTGAAGACACACCCATGTTGGCAATCACAGTGCCGATGCAAGATTGCATGCGTTTCAAATCTTGTTCGTGGCTTGATGGATGCCTGGGCTTGGTAACGTGCAGCAGGCATCGGCTACCGCCTCTGTACGCCTTGTCAAAACCTACATGTCAGCTTGCCGCCCAACATCAGAATTAAGGACGTCTTCTTTGCAAACGAGAGAGAGAGAGAGAGATAAACACAAAAACAGCAAATGGGCAACCTAGCATTTGTTCCAAACGTTGCAAATAAGAAACCCCCAAGCCAGGACCTCCAGTGTGTGTGTTTCTAAAACATGGGCGGCTGACGATTGCTTTCATTTTCCCTTGCTGGTTCTTAGCGCATGATGAGGGGATAACCCCGAAATTGAACCACCCCTTGTGGTTTCAGCAAAGAGGATCCATGGGTTCATGTCCAAAACTGTTGAAACTCCTGACTGAAAACAGCAGCGCCTCACTCGCGGACATCTGGCGAAGGAAAGCACAAGCACCTTGCCTCGGATGCCGCTGTTTGACCTCCACTGGCCTCATTATGCTACCATGATCAAAGTCACCCACTAAGTGGTGGGTTAAAGGGAAACAACCAACCCCCACAAACCGTCAAACAATGGGGCCCCAGCCGGACTTTATGTTGTTCGCTAGTTCATGGGCTTGGACCAAACGCGGCAGGGCCCCTACCCAGTCACCCAGCTTGCTCCAGGATGCCAAAGGTTCTGCTCCTGGAAGGTGCCCAGTATGTCGCAGACTGCCATGGCGTCCTGACGTGCTGGGAGTCGGGAGCGGAGCGCCAAGGCCGAGCCCCTGGCAGCCCCAACGAAAACCCGGCGCAGCACCCGCACAAATCTGTGGACAGATCACTGATAGCCATCCCTACCGGGCTAAAACTGACCCCCTCCCAAAAAAAAGCAAACAAAGATGCCCCCAAAGAAAAAAACAAGCCAACCCCCCCCCCCCCACACAAAAAAAAGGAAGAGACAAAAAAACAAAAAAAATCGCAAACTCCCCCCCCCGGCCCCCCAAAGGCCCGAAGGGCCCCGTCCGGTCCAGGCAGTTGCCCTCAGCCAGCCGCAGCGCCCAGGCCCACGATTCCAGCGCGGCGCAGGCGCAGCTCAGCGCCACCAAGGACACCAGCAGCGCCGAGGCCTGGAGCAGCAAATCCCAGGCGCGTTTTTTTTTTTTTTTTGAAAAAACATCTTGCTGTTGTTGTTCTTTTTCTTCTGGGGGGGGCGGGCTTCTCCCATCCTTTGGAGCAAAATCCGCAGAAAATCGCGGGTTTCTCCCATCCTTTGGAGCAAAAACCGCAGAAAATCGCGGGTCTCCCATCCTTTGGAGCAAAATCCGCAGAAAATCCGCAGAAAATCTCCGCGCCACTTGGGAAACCTTGGGCGGGTGTCTCTCCCATTCATGGGGTTTTATCCAACACCTGAGCAGGTGGGAAAAGTTTGCCCGGGTTTTCTCCATTCATGGGGAATGGTTGGGTTATTATCCCATGGTTTTATCCATTTGATACATCAATGCTGACCAAATTGGCGGGTTTCTCCGTGTGATCCACCTCTCTTGCGGGCTGGCCAGTTGGATCCTCTGTGTCGCTCTTTCTCCATCCTCGGAATCCCGCACAAAATCTGCACGGCTGGTACGTCAAGGCCTAGGACAAAATTATCGAGTTGCGCCACATTGGCGGAGCTTTTCTGCCAAGTCATGGTTTGTGCAGGAGTTGGATGTGTTTTCGTTGTTTCGATCAAACCCGATCGGGCAAATCTTGTTGCGGGATATGACAATTCATCTGCGTATTAGTGCATAACCCCAAGGCTTGATGGAATTTTTTGGGCATCAAAATAGGTCCTTGTGGCCGAAGAAGCAACTTGGGTTCTGCATGCCAAACGACGGGACCCTCAGGCAAAGAAAAATCTGCTAGGTCCTCCAGTAGAGAGGTTAGAATAAGGGTACCCTTCTTTCTGTAGGGGTCCCAAAAAAAAACACAAAAAACGGAACCACCCCCTAGGTCCTCCAGTGGAGAGGTTAGAATAAGTTGGTACCAACTTTTTTTCTGTAGCCTATTTTAAAAAAGGATCCCTCCCCCAAAAAAGCTGGTGAGAGAGAAAGCGCACGATCCTGGGGGACCTCGTCTGCGGGGGGCCCTGCGGAGGCAGATCGCGGATCCGCCTGCATCTCCTGCAGAAGGTCGAGCGCCTGATGCCACCGCCGCTGCCGCCCCACCGCGCGGAGGCAGCTGCTGAAGCCTACAGCGACCGAAGCGAGCGGAGGGCGCGTGGAGTGAGTTGAGCAGCGCCCGTGTCGCCACATGTCCAGATTTTGCTTCAGATTTAGTCCCAGCATGTCCCAGCCAAATCTTAAAATGGAGGCGACTCTAGAGTCTTGGGTGCTTGACTCCGACCATTCCTCATGTCCAACCATTACCACAGCCATTCAGGACCCGTGTCGAACGCGCCATGGCCAAATCATCGCCGGGGCGCTATTTTGGTTTGGAGACACCTGCCACTCCGGCATCTCCCTCCTTAGCTACAGGCCCACTTGAAGGAGCTGGGTAGTTGGCAAGTGGGTAATAACCATGGTTATGACCAAAATAACATGGTTACAAGTCTCCTGAGTGGGTTATAACCATGGTTCTTACCCACTTGCTAAGTACTCAGATGCCCAGTGGCCATGGGAAAAAAGGGCATCCTTTCTTGGTTGGTTGAGTTCAAAGAAAAACCCTTCCCGAAAGAAAGGCGCAAAAAGGGCCGGATTTGAGCAAGTGGGTACCTGGACCCCCCAAAAAGAAAACACCTGATTTCTCTGCCTTTGTGCCCCTTTTTTATGGGTCAAAGGCAGAAAAAAGGGATCGGTCCTTTTAAAAGTCCAGGTCG